TATAGTGATTAATTTATAGATTAAAGTAAAAAACAGTACTAATGCTCTCAAGTCTTAACCTCTGCACGGGCACATGCAGCACGAGAAAGAACAACACTAATATATTAATTATAGTAAGGCCAGCTAGCTTAACGCCAGGAGCCCGCCCAATGTTAGTTTAAAAAATAAAGTAAAAAATTGCAGAGAAGGATTAAACGAGAAACTTGAATGGCAAGCATATTATTGCTACCTTCCATAGATAGTGGAAAAGGGAGTGAGGGTCGATGACGAAGGCTTTGTGGAGACGACCGGGATAGTAGTCGCCGACGATCTTCAGCGTGCACATAAAGAGGTTGAGAAAAGCCGGCGATGACCTGAAAAAGCCTGCAAAAAAGATTCCACGCTTCTTTTGATTATAGTGGCCTGACTTGTACTGCTTCTAAAACTTGATTCAAAGTTTCAAATTTTTCTCTGATTCCATTTATACAATTTTTGAGGAAATGGAATGTTTTCGAAGTTGCTTACTGGCATCAAAGAGTAGAACGAACTGGTCCACGAATCTGGACATGCTGGAGATGGCAACTTCCAACGTGAATACCAGTAGCCGAATGTATCTAATGCAGAGAGTTGTCAGTATTTCAGTTATATCGCGCCATTAATATGAGAGAGAGACAGAGGGAGGGAGGATTAAGGAGAAGTATAGTAGCACTCACGATTTCTGAGAGTGGAATTTGGGGTAATCCTGTTTTATGCGGAAAATCTAGAGAGAGAATTTATTATAGAAGACGAGAAGATTAATGGAAATGAAAACTCGAAAAATAAGAGGAGAAGTGTAAAGAAGGAATCATAAGAGCATATATACCAGAACTGGGCGGCCCTCGTCGTCATTGCCTGAAACATAAGCTACGCCGTCTGCCAGTTCAGCGGAGAACTCATCAGCTATTAAATGCTCTGTTTTCATTTTATTGGGAAATGATTACTAGGAAACGAATATAGCCAAAGCTTTTCTTTAAAAAAAAATTGTTTTTAACAAAAAAAAGTTGAAATTTATAGCCCCAACTTACCAGTGCCTATGGCCTCTCTCCAAGAAAGAACTGCTCGGAGATGCTTCGCCGCTTTCTTCACGTTCTCCCCTTTCGCTTTCAGAAACCGCTCGATGCAAGCATCATTGCAGAACTTCTCCTGAACACCGCACCGTTTATACTAAATTAACTTACAAAAGAAAGAAGAAGAAGAAGAAGAAGAAGAAAAAGAATCCATAGGATGAACAGAAGCAAACCTGCTTCATGGACAGAGGAGCTTGCTTCTTCAAAATTCGGAGAACGGCCTCGATCCGTTCTCGAACCTTCTCTTCCTTTTTCTCAGATCCCATTATCCTCGTTTAAAACCTTACTGTAGCAGTGCAGCTAAAGCTTCCTCTACGTTTCCATTTGGAAAGCAGGGGATTAAATGGAGCGAGAACACAAGCAGGACACAGAGAGAGAGAGAGAGAAAGAGTTGGAAATGAGAACTACTTGTATAAGCGGCGGCACTGACGGTGGCCGTTACGTGACTCACTACTCGCCTGCTTTCTCCGCTTGGCAGCTGACGGCGGAAAGTAGCCGATACGTTACGGTAGCCGTTTTCCTCTTTTCTTTATTTTTTTCTTTTTTTACTTTATTCTTTTTATTTTGGCTAAACTTCCTTTTTATTTCCCGCTTTGAATGTTTATATAAAATTAGATTTAGATGATCTCAACGGTCCATTTTGAATGGGGCCCGCTCTCCCACAACACATCGCTGTAAGCTTTGAACCCTTTATTCCTTCCATCGAATCAGACGGCTAAAAACAGTGGACCCAGAAATCACCAGCGTCAATTTAGGCTCTTAAATAATTCAGTAATAGCAAAATTTAGTCATTTAGTGAGTAAATGAATATTCATTTGGATGGCAATATCGTGAATTCTCAAAAACATAACGGTATTTTAACAATGATCTAGCGAATCTCCTGAGGCGGATCCGCTGTTCGGCTACAACAGGAGCTATTCTGGATAAGAGAAGAATGTGAAACTGTGCGCTGTATCTATAAGGCTCCGACATTCCTCTAAACGCATATTTCACCGTCAGAGCGCCTAAGCTTTGTATAATGGCCCTTCTAATTGTCATTAAGAGCATTAAGTAAATTCCTAAGTTAAATTTAGGCATTTCCTTCACATTTTTAAACACATAATTAATCTACAAATTAATGCATGGCAGTATGCTATATATTATTGGTCATCTAAATTAGTTTAGGGTTAAAAAATTGAGTGAAAAAAAAAATATATATATTTATGTGCTTATAATTCAAACTTTTTTATTTAAAAAAAAAGATATTATACAGATGTAAAAAATATTAGGATGACAATGAAATCCTATCATATTCTAAAAATAATAATTTATATCATAATTTTTAAATATAAAAATTTTAATCTTTTAAGCATGTT